ATTTGCTTCGGGTTGCGAACAAATCGGGTTGCGACCAGAGTCACGGAACGGATTAAATTCGTAACCCGAGGTACCACTGTATCCATCTTTTAATGCTGGTTAGCCACTATAATATATATTTCCATTACAAATAGAATATTTCTGCAAATCCCTGTAGAAAAATGCTTAAAACATTCCAGCAGTTTGTACCATTTACCATTGGTTTTTAAAGAGAAATGAAACCAATCCCAAATCTAGTAAATTCCTCAGATTCCCCACCTTTATTAAAAATACAAAGCCTGAATGCCGAAGAAGTACAGTATGTGTGTTATGAAGCCTCACAAACTGCCAAAGTAACGGCCAACTAGCTATCAAGAGCTAAGAAAAGAGATTCAGAATATATGTAATTCTAGCCTTTTCTTCCACATATCTGTGCTAGCTAACAACTTTCTCTCCATTCTCTCCCTTATTCCAGTTTATGCCTTACATCATCCTAGCTAATGAAAACACTCCGAGTTATTTCAGGGAAGATGTAATTACTGGAAACAGAAAAAAAATATTCTGAATTCTGACTTGAACTCACTATATGGATTTGAATTGTTACTTGGGAAAGAAGTAGTTCTACTCTTATGGCCTCATACAAGGCCACATTTTATTTATAATCAATTTGAAAAAGATAAAAGATGCAGTTGAATAATTGTGTGCTGTACATAGTTAAAGCATTCAAAACTGATTTTCCTAGCAAATATGGTACTAAAAGGCAAAATTAAATTCCAAAGCCTTTGTCTAAAGTTCAATTTTCCAAAACTCTTTTGTGTATGATAGTTGATTGGTTAGAGATTGTCAGCTACCTATGCAGAAATGCCTGATTTCAAACTTTACACAGGGGGAGAAAGAGTTCTAAAAGAACTCCTAATCATTTAAAATTGAACAGAGCATGCTCAATCAAAGAATCTACCACTGAAAAAGGTAGAAAGTTACCTGACCAATTGGTTGTAGATATACAGCTGGAATTTGGGATGGAGGTTGGGAAAACAGACACTGAGAGAAGCCCAGTGGTGAGACGTAAAGACAGAGAAGAAGTAGTGGACAGGAGAGCAGTGTCTACAAAATAAGGAGGAAGAGTTTTAAGCCGATAGCAAGAAACAGACAGAAAAGCAAGAGCAGGAAAAGGTCTAGCAGAGTTTTAAATGAATCTCAAGTGTCAAACAGTGTAATCCATCAACAAGTAGTTTTCAAAGGCAACAGAACTTCACCATGCATTACTTAAAATTCTTCATTCCTTGTCAGTTGCTCCCCATTTCTTACACTGATAATTTTTATCTTATTTTTGGTACAATGTTGTAGTTGATTCTCCAGTTGTATAAAGAACTACATTTAAGGGCAATTCCGATTATTAATTTAATACTGCATTTTAAAAAGCTTGTTATTTTAATCATTTACTCCAAGGTTTCAAGTTACATATAGTTGTATTCATACTGATGCTCAACTATTCTAAGCTAAGTGAACAAAATCCAAAACCCAAAATACAGTTTCAGCTTGTAAGACTGCTTAGTTTAAAAATGGCTCAAATACTGATATAAACTCAAGAGTTCACAGGCTGCCATTTTGTAATAACAGTTGATTATTTGTATGTCACAACTTCCGTTTTCAAATATTGCTTTGCAGCACACAGCTTATCTACTGTATGATGAAATGCCTAACCAGAAAAATAATTAAAATTAAGGAAAAAATAGCTGAGAAAGCTTTTAGAAAGTAGAAGCCACTGCTAATAAAGAAAGAAGTTAAGAATTTACGAAGGTAAAGTCATAACTAATATCAAAAGAGGTTAATTCTTTGACAGAGCATGCTCCTATTCACATGCAAACCATTAGATAACCCTTTTGTCTTCTTTATCCAAAGATCAATTGTGGTACTTCCTACAATCTCTATTATCAAAAACAAACTGGAGAAATGTTAAGCATCATCGTCCAACTCATCCATGGCATTTAATATTGTAAAACAGTTATGCTATCTTTTTTATAGTTTTCCCAAACTAGCATAATATTCTACATGTTTCTACATTATTTGGCATTTTTATCTTTATCTTGCTAAGATTTCTATCCGCGCCCTAAATACATGTTCAAAAGCTTCACTAAATTGAAACACTGGCAATACATTTCTTTTAACAAAGCGAAGAGTAACTGCTGCTGCTCCATAATCTTGGAAACCAGAGAAAGAAACTGCTTTTCACCACCATATTATTTTTCTTCTATTATAGATTGGGACCCTTAAAAAATTATTGTGACTAGAACTTCCAAGCCCTTAAGATATTCCAAAATCCATACAATTTTCATATCTTCAGAATACCTTTTTGAAGGGCTGTGATAATTACCGAAAATCATATTCTACTGATGAAACTCAGGAATATATACCAATGTCCTACATGCATACTTAAATACCATGCAAACAAACTTTTTTATGACTGAATCTGTCACTTTAGCGAATCTGTCACTTTAGTGGCTATCTGCCACAACTACTACCATGTCTTCCTTTTGTTGTGAAGGAAATATTAGCTGCACATTTTTCACAGTTGAGAGGTGTCTAATATTACAAAAAACATTTTTTTTCCACAAAATTGCAATTTAGTTAGATACACAGCTTCAAATTCCAACATACTATACTATGAATCCATTTTTCTTCGGATCAAGTTGAATTTTCAGGCGTAAGAATATATTTTGTTTGAAGATAATTCGAAAAGAAAGGCAACCTTTTTATCAGCTGTATAAAGACAAACATTATATTACACAGCGAACATGCTGCATTGAAGTAATATGCCTGTGTATGTAAAACTCTGGTCTGTAGCTACTGCACCAATTACAAGAAGGGGCACATACACAGATTCAATGGTAGTACATACGCTTTGCATGCAGAAGATCCTGGGTTCATTCCCCAGCATTACCAGTTAATTATTTCAGGTATTAAGAACCTTAGTTTTTCACACCTATTCATGATAGAAAGGCAGTGCTGTATGTTCATATTAATTAATATATTTAAGCTGCCAAGCCACCATCAAGACTAACTAAGCTGAAATTCCACAATAGCCGTTGGAAGCCATTTCTATTAGCAATAAAACAAAATACAAATTACTTCTCATCCATTCGTCTCCGCATTTTCTTTAATTTCTGCATGATGCTACTTGTCTCAGAGCTGGAAATGGAGGAAGGGCTAGAGGCCTCTGCATCAGTTGGCAGAGGGCTTGAAGAATGTGCTTGTTTTTTATCATCTTCACTGCGGTGTTCCTAAAATGAACAAATAGAAGTCAGTTAATAAAGAAGTGAGATGAATGCTATGCTAGGTCTTAGATTTGTCATATGCTCAAATGAGACAATTAAAATTTTCTTCTGTATTTCTGTGGAAGAGTTACTTCTGATACTGATAAAAGGGCTGACAGTTATCAAGACGGGGACAGAGAACTCTTTGTGAAGTTTGCAAGCCTTCTGGACAGAAAGAATAGAAGCAAATGGATAAGAGTTTTGCCTTATGTATTGCCTATATATAGGTTTCTAATTTGAAAGCAGAGCTGGAAATCTTGTAGTATAACATTTAATAAATATTATTAACCAGAGGTTTTTGATTCTTGTTCCCTGGATTAACTGTTTCCAGTCCAGACTCCATGGAAGAAAGTCTGACACTCTGTTTTGAAAACTTCTATACAGGTAGTCCTCACTTAACAATGGTAATTGGGACCAGAATTTCCATCGCTAAGCAATGTGGTTGTAAAGTACGAAGTCACAAGACCGTGCCACTTAGCAACGGCAGTTCTGGCAGCTCCTGGTTACCATCATTAAGGAAGGACCGTGTGGGCCATTAAGCAAGGGCTTCATGTGACTGTGACTTCCGTCTTCCTACCAGCTTCCCCACTGACTTTCTTGTGGGAAACCAGCAGGGATGGTCACAAATCTCAATCACGTGACCATGGGACACATGTGATGGTTGGAAATCCAGGCCAATTGCTGAGCGCCCAGATCGCGATCACATGATGGCAGGGACACTGGAACAGCTGGAACTTCGAGGACCAGTCATAAGTACCACTCGTTCAGTGCTGTCGCAAGCTAACCCCAAATCGAAGAAGTATCCTAAGAACTTCACAAATTTCATTCTTCAAATAAAAATGCTGTTTCATTTGAGAACGTCAACTGTATAAATAAAATAAGCAGGCTAGCCGCAGTGTAACTTATCACCTTATTTTCTCCTGCAGACTTGAGTTTTTCCTGTAATTTCATAGTGGTTTGGCGTATCCGCTCAATTTCTTCCTGCTGTTTAAGGATCAGTTGCCTCTCCTTCCGAGCTGCCTTGTTAGCTTCCTGAAGGCGCTTAATTTCTGCCTTTATGGATAAACAGGAGAAAACAAAACAAAAGGAGCTGTTATTTCCTCATTAGCGTACCTCTTAAACGTCCTTAGTTTTTCATTTTTATTCTTTACTCTGCCACAGCTTACCATTTTCTGCTTGTTGCTTTTATCAGAGGTTTACCCGTGATCCCCAAAGATCTCTCCACTCTTTCCTTCTTCTGCATCTATACTGTCATCTTATTAATTTTCCTTTCACTGCTGGATCTAATCTTCTAGGTAAAATGTAAATGTTCTCTCTTCTTTCCCATACCAATTTTCTCTACTGCACTGCTTAGAACTTACCATGATTTTGGTTTCTCCCTCTCTATTCTTTTTCTGAATTTAGTGTATCATCTTATCTGATTTTTTGCTACTTTTAAAAAGCAGCACATGCTTTTAAAAAGAGTTTTCCTAGGACAAGTTAGAACAATCTAAAGTTATAATTAAATTTTTTAAAACTAAAATTATAATTAAGATGCAGAATCTTCAGCTTTCAATTTCCTTTACTCATTGCTCTTCAACTGCCTTCTTGTTTTCTCACTTCAGATTCAAAGCTTGTGAGCAGGGACATTTACTAAAGCCTGGACACCCCAAAGTAGTGCTCATTGGTACTCATTTGCTTCAGGAAATCTCCTTGCAAAGGGCAATGGTCCTGGTCTATGACTTCTTTAAAAAAAGTTAGTTTAATTAAGAATTTTCTTTCACATTCTGTAATAGTTAGGATTAGTGTGGGGGTGAGGAATAGTATACATGTGTTTTCTCTGTATGGAGCATTACTGGTTTGCTTTCTATAAAATAATTTGTCCTCCTTTGCAAATGTATGATTTGGCACAAAGACTAAGATCCACCCTCCCCTTTACATTTAGATTCTCAGATAAGTGACTTTTCTTTTAGCCGCAACAGCTTTACTGATAGTCCCCCCTTAACAACCCTAATTGGGACCAGAATTTCCATCGCTGAGCAATGTTGTTGTTAGGCAATATATCATGTGACCACACCACTTAGTGATGGCAGTTCCAGTAGTCCTGGTTGCGGTCAGGACCGCACTGTCGTTAGGTGAGGACCTCATGCTTCTCCTGCCCTGCTGCGCTCGCCTGTGTTTCATTTACCCCCACCTGCTTATTTCCCCCCTAACTCTGCCACTTTGGCTGCCCTGCACTCCGCCACCTTGACTGCCTACTCCTGCTGCCCCCTGCTGACCTTCACTGTCTTCTTCCTCCCGCTGCTGATGAGGCATGCCTGGCAAAAGCAGCTGCTGGCCCTTCAGAGGTCCTGAGGCTTTGGGGAGGCCACAAGGAGGCCTTGCAAAGAGTCAGCAGCTGCCTCAGCCAGGCACACCTCATCAGCAGTGGGAGGAAGAAGACAGTGAAGGTCAACTGGGGGCAGCAGGGGTAGGTGGTGGTGTGCAGGGTGGCCAAAAGGGGAGAGATGTGAGTGGAGATAGATGGGTGGGGAGAGCTGAAGTGCACACTGTGGTTGTAAATGTGGGTGGGCTGCCTGAATTTTGATCTGTGGCTGCGGGGGTGCTGCAACGGCCATAACTTTGAACAGTCACTGAACAAATAGTCATTAAGTGAGGACTACCTATATTCCATCTGAAATTCCACAAACAATACCTGCACAGATTTTAAGAAGATCACAGAACTACAAAAAGAACAAGGAGATATCAATGATACATTCTGTGAAGGTGAACTTTGTTCTCTGAAGGTACTGGCCTAGAAACCAGGAGACTGAGAGTTCAAGGCCTGCCTTTGGCATAAAAGCTGGCTGGGTGACTTTGGGCCAGTCAATGTGTCTCAGCCCAACCCGCCTCACAGGGTGGTTGCTGTGAGGAGAATAGAAAGCCGCAGGATTAGATACATTTGCCGCCTTGAGTTGACGAAACACACACACACACACACACACACACACACACCTACTATGCAAAAGTTTTAGGCAGGTGTGAAAAAATGCTGTAAAGTAAGAATGCTTTCAAAAATATATATTGTAATCATTTATGCTTATCAATTTACAAAA